TTCCCTTTTTTGAATTCCTCTACAGCCTAAAATATATGATACAATAAAACATTTAATTGAGCAGCTGAATTTTAAGTTCCGTTTATCATAAGGCTGCAATTTCATCCAAATTAAGTTGATATATTTGTATTTGCAGAAATGCATATTCACAAAGATGATATGCTTAGGGCATGCAAAAGAGGTGAGATCTACAAGAGTCAATAAGACCAAACCATAGCCTTGAACTTGAATGTGAGCTCAGATCATAAGTGAATAAGACCAAACCATACCTGAGCGATGTTTGGTGTAACAGTGCCAGCTTTTGGATTTGGCATGAGACCCCGTGGTCCTAGAATCCTTCCTAGGCTCGCAACCTAATGCAAGTAGCAAAGTGTTAAATAGAACTTACCAAATGAGTATCATTATCCTAGCAGATAGCTTGGAAAATGAAGGATCCATATTAAATACAGAGAGTCAGAGGTGGATTCATTCACTTAAAATTCCTAGGATTTATTTTTTATGTGAAATCATACCCTTGATGAATATGTTACTTCAAAAGCATATCCAAGGAATTTTAACAATTCACAGGAAAAAAGAAAGCTCTTTGATTTTTTTTTTGGCAAAAAAAGAAGAAACTTAAAACTATAGCTACAAATGAAAAAATGATTTAGTAATGGACTTTGGTTCACAATGAAAACAAGCAAATTAAGATATTTTACATTAAATTGTAATAAGATCAGCAGGGCAACACCTTAACCATCATACCTGGGGATGCAATTAACTTGTCAAATTCCATGAATCCTCCTTTTATCTGTTCAATCAAATCCTCGCCACCAACAATATCTGCTCCTGCATTTTTTCCTTCCTCAACCTTTTCACCTATACGGTATCATGTTTAGACAAAAAACCTTTAAGGAACAAGCAAAAATCCATCTAGATGCACAAGGTGAAAGAGAACAGAAACTATGTTGCATGAGCTAGCAAATCAAAAGGAAAACTAGTCAAACCAAATGAGAATAATCAACAGCTTATGATGCATCAAAGTGGAGAAACTACCTTGAGCAAGAACAGCCACCTTAACAGTTTGCCCAGTTCCCTTGGGCAAAATCACCTACAAGAAAAATAGCAGGTGAAGAAGACTATAAGATCATGATAACAAAGTCTCGTACCATTGAGTACAGCTCAGAAAACTTACAGTTGCTCTTAGCTGTTGATCATTATACTTAGGATCAATGTTAAGACGAAAATGTGCTTCAGCACTCTCAACAAATCTAGTATTTGCCATTTGCTTTAACATAGACATTGCCGTCTTAGGA